CGTCTTTCTCTGTATATCAAATATGGACTCTGTGGGGGACTTACATATATCGTGAGTGGCATCACAAGTCAAATGGTTAAAGACGTCTACTAGTATTTGAAGTTGCAAAACGTAGCAGCGAGTGAATTGTTTTCTTGGAATGGTGTTCTAGCAAAATATACATATGTTGCTTTGTTTTGAACAAGATTATGTCTATGATGAATTAAAAAAAGATGTGGGGTTCTACGCGAATGATACAATAACCCAACAACAAAACTAACCAAATGATATCGAGAGAGCACCAGACAGTCTTTAACAAAAGACAGCTGTCTATATAATATGTCAACCTCTTAATCGTCCAAAGTCTAAAAAATAGTGAATAAATTATACACAGACAATCAAAATGATTTAGGACAAACATTAGACTAAAGAGCACAAGTCCCCGTCAAAATCCTGATTTTGTGAATATCTAAATGAAAACAAAAATTAAGTATTTTTGTGACTCGTTTGTGGTGCTCGAATCTAAACATTTTGAAGTCTGATTAAAGTGAAGAGCAATGAAAACCAAATATGCCATAAGGTTGTGCTTGGAAGCAGACATTTTTTTTTATCAACGGTAAATGTACAGAACATGACTGTTTGAATGATGTTTAATGTCAGTGCGGGAGTGTTGACTACTGGGCTCGTACTACCTCATGATGAAACGTCGAACAGCAAAAGTGCATCTGCCAGCGGACGTGAAACAAAGTCGCAGTTTTGACCTGATGTGACGTCAAAAGAAAGTTATGATATTAAAGCTATTTAACCTTTAATAAACTATAAATGAAATTAAGTTGAAAAAGCAACTCAGATTTTCGAAGAACTTAATAAGTTGTCAATTACTTACAAAGTTCCGAATTTAAATATATGACAGATCATAATTTAGAAGTAGAATTAGGTCGATATACTGTCCATTTTTATCAAATATATATACGAATGAATAAAAACGATAATTGTATAAATGTATTGTTAAGTATCGCTTAATCCGTTGGGCTTTTGTCTTTTATGTAATAAAGTTCCAATAAAATGAAAAAGCTCAGTCGATCAAGTATCTGACTGAGAAATTGTACACATTAGATATGATTGAAAAAATGTTTAAATTCCAAGACACACGTTGTATAAAGATAGCGTGTAATGCAGTGTCTGTCATTTGTTACTGTATATAATGTTTGTTTTTAGTTTGTTGTTTTGTACATAAATCAGGTATTTTGTTTTCTGATTTAAATTGTATTACTTTTAATTTTGTCGGGGGCTTTTATAGCCTACTATGCTGTATGAGTTTTTCTCATTGTTGAAGGCCGTACGGCGACCTAAAGTGGCTAACATCTTTGTCATTTGCGTGGATAGTTGTCTCATTGGCAATCATGGCGCTTCTACCTCTTTTTTTTTACTATGTAATTTCTTGAGTCCTTTTTTTTATATTCCAAATGAAACAATTTTTAAAACAAATTACAATTGAAACTCATTAATATATTATCCTCGTGATTTCCTTATACATGTGTATTCTATAATGGTAATATCTTAAATTTACTGTTAACGACTAACTTTCTTGAGCGATTTATTTTTCAAAAATAAATGTAAATTGGTGAAACTTAGATCTATTCGTACATAAACAAGCCAGAAACATTAGAAAATTGTGACAATATATTGCCGCGAAATAGGGTAGAATAGCATAAGCGCTAAAAAGTATAAGCAAACATAAAAAACTAGATCAGAATTATTGATTAAAGCAAAATTTACGCAGCGCATTTTCTGTTTCAGTGTTTGTGTTATGTTGAGCGAGATGGTTCATTCTTGCTTATTAAATCATCAATAGAGCTTAACAGACAATCTAAACTGTAAGCAGCTTCATCTCTGGTCATCACAGCTTGACCTCTTTGGTCATCATGTTACACTCTTCATGTATGTAAAAATTTTGATCCAGGATTTGTAACGTAAGACTAGATACAAATGCTTGCTGTGATTAGAGGAAAATTAATTAGTCTGTTGTTTGATAATATTAGAAATAGTTTTTTTTGTTTGTTTTGAGATTTCATAAATATTTCAGAATATGATCGGATAGATAAAGTGAAGAAAAGTTTGCATCAATTACAAAGATTGCTAGATAAAGGATAAAAGCAAATTTTTGGAGCTAAGAGTAGAGTTGGCAGGACTCAAGTTGGAATGAGAGACAAAAAGAATAGCATTAACCGTAGAAAGGCTGTAAATAGGAAATTGAAAATTCTGGTTTCAAAGTGTAATAACTTGAATAAACAGCTGTATCCTTCCATTGATAAATCAAGACCCTTTGTTTTCTCCTCGTGAATGAATTGTACGACTTTAGCAAAGCGACGTGTACCTTTAGTACTTGCATAACAATTGGTTAAAAGTACAAAAAAAAAAAAAAAAAAAAAAAATGGCAAAAGCTCAATTTGTTTTATTCGAGAAGAAGTTTTATGATCATACAGTAAAATGTTTGATTTTAGAAAACTTGGATAATCCTGTGGCAGAACAATATTTGGAATATGAAAAACAGCATGAAAGTTGGATAGAGACTATCGATATCAGGGAACCAGAGTAGAAGAAATGAGTGGTCGTGGAAGTGAAGAGCAAATTTATAAAGAGTGAAAGTTGTAAAATAGAGAATGATGTAGAACTCTCGGGTGGTGAGGACTGATTTTGATTTGAAATTGACAATGCAAGATTTGCTTTTCAATATTGTATTACATGTACAAATGTTATTGGTTTAAAATTAATGTCATTTGTATAATAGATGTTTTCCTATGTAAAGCAATGGAGGAGGGGGGGGGGGGGGGGGGAGTCAAATTTTAAAGAGGGGATTGATTTCGATAGATTGTACCAACGTTGGGGGATTCATTTTATCATCATGGTCATGGTGAAAAATTTCCCAACCCCCCAGCTGGTAAATAATGACTGTTCCCTTATTTCATACTTTGATTGAGAAAAGTTTAAGAATTGTAATATTTAAAAAGGGAGATAATCATGTTCTTGTAGCTTTAAATATCTAAGTAAATTTTGAAAACTGAATGCTTCTGATGTTTTTATTTATATTTGTATAAGCAATCTTTATTCTAAGCTAAAGATTATTGAACTTATGATCTGCATTTCCATAGACTTATGATTTGTTTTGTGTTTTTCTATTTTTCCACAAATATTGAATAATTCAGCGTTGCCAATTAATGTGAATATTTTTGATTTTTTTATATCTATTTATGAATAATTTGTTTGAATATACAATAAATTAATGAACCTTATATTTGTGATTTCGTAAGCCAGTTTATTGTTTTCGGAGGTTACATTATGAATTAGGCCGTCAGTTGTCTCAAATGAATTGTTTCACATTTTTCATGTCGGGGGGTTTTACAGACGACTATACTGTAAGGATTTTTCTCATTGTTGAAGGCCGTACGGTTGCCTATAATGACATCCATTCCATTTGAACTTTGGTTGATAGTTGTCTCATTGGCAATCATTCCACATCTCTTTGATTTTATACTGGTATATGATTCTGGTACCCATTTTCATGTGGACCTGGTGTGCGATTCTGATCCCCATTTACTTGTGGACCTAGTATATGATTCTGGTACCCTATTACATGTGGACATGGTATATGATTCAAATACCCATGGTATTGACAATGATTACTATTATGAGATGTCCCTTGTTGGTTTGTCAATTCGAGTTGATTAAAGGAGCTGCACTCGAGTTCAGAATCCCTTATATTAGGGTTATTGATTATTTCCATACTTTGTGTTTTAGATTGCAGATGTCGAGTTTCTAGGTTCATCGAGTACCTCCTGTGATGTGCTCCGCTTTTTTAAAAAATAAACCAAGAAGAACCATTTCATTTACTGATTCGACCCACAAATAATATTTGTTATACAGGTAAAACTATGTATTAATTTGTTTTTAAATTTTAATCCATATTGTATAATGAAACAGATCTTGAACAACGACATTACATATTCCTATAATATAATTGCACTTTCTCGTCTATTTATTTATGTTAATGTTTATTTCGGGTCACCCGACCATCGGCATTCTTCGGTGTTCATCTTGATGGTTATTTAGTCTAGTTCTCAAATACGCTCGATATGCTAATTCTTTATTACCGTTATAGAATTGTTTATTGTTTCCAATGGAACTTTCGTGATTGTGGTGAATAGTTTAATAAATTATGAATGAAGTCAAAGAGTTTGAGTCAATTCGGTGATACTGAATTTGGCAGCTAATGTACATTGTTTAAAACATTTGGTGTTGATGACTTTGATATTTACAGTTTTATTTGTACACAACACATGTAGGCTTGAACAACATATTGTCATATTTAGATTTCATATTTTTTTGTGTCGTTTAGTTCCTGTCTCTTTGGAGTATACCGCTCGTCTCATCTAGAAAACACTTTATTGGAAATCTCTTATCGACGGAATAAGCATAGACATACAAAGAGGGGGTTGAAAATGAAATCTTTCATTCCTCTTATTTATACACGATATCAAAATTCTCTTCTGAGGATATTAACTTGGGACAGACACATATCAGAGTACATTTTATAAAACACACGTTTTATTTCAAGTTAGTCTCTCCAAAATATTTTTATAATACGTATGATCGTATCTTCAAACACCCTTTCCTCATACCGTAAGCATCAAATGAACCAAAAGATTAATTGTCATTCGACATAATTTATTTTTTATGTTCCTTTAGACAGATATTACATAAACTTAATTCAATATATGTTTTAACATTAATTGTCATGTGTAACCCTTTCCAACCCTAATATTATAACTGTTGTTTCTATTTCTTTTTCAAATTTAAATTTCTAGAATAATTGCATCGTACATTTATGCCATAACATCACGACAGGCCAACATGTAGTAAAGTAATATTCAATGAAGTTAGTCATGGGTAAACACTTTATGTTCCGTTGACTTGTCCTTGACATAGATATTAGTTAAGTGTTGTAAAACATAATTGTTTATTAACATTGTCATATGTTTATATTTGTGGGATTGAAAATAATGTATCTACTATTGAACGGAAAACCTTGACATTGCTTCAGTTGATCAAAAGTGCTTTCTAAAGAATACTAGATTTTGAATGTGATAAAACACTGCGTCAACAACAGGTTTCCTGTTGAATACCAGACTATTTCTGATAAAAAATACAAGTACAATGGAATATCCGGATTGCATGTTTCGACGTTGGATAACACATTTTGGGTTTTCTTGCACGTATTTAGAAGACGACGACTGATCAAATAATCAAATGAATACTATAACTTATCAGTTTAAATGAAATAGAGAGTTAATATCTATCAGGAGTGCATCATTATCATGATTGTATAAATAAGTTAATCGATGTAGCTTTCTTTCAAACAAGGAGAATAGCAGACATCTGTAGATTAGGATTTATTGTGATTGCAATTTATGTTACACTTTAATCGATTTAAAGATAACTTATTCTTAACGATAACTTTTTTGCAACAAAATCCGGACAAGTGCAACATAGGAAGTTTGTATTAAAATACTAAGGTATGTAAGATTGAAACTATTATGATAAAATTCTTGATCAGCTCTCTATTAGTCAAGTTATTGACGAACTGTTTATTCGGATGATATACAGATATGATAGATAAAAACTTTCCTTTCACAGTAGAGCTGCTCGAAGAAACTGCGGAATTTATTTAGCGCCCCGAATCAAATTTCAACAATAACAATTTAAAATTGATGATTTAGTTAAATTCGTTTTGAGAGGGTCAACAGGAACTACTATACGAAGAGAGCTTAATAATGAATATAACAGCTTTCCTTCAAATTGACGGTACTAGGTTTATATCCAAAATGAGCTGAAACAGCTGTAATAATGTCTCAATTACTTTAGAAAACATAATTTTTTCAGGATTTTTCATCATTAGGATTGGTGAAATCGAAATATTTGAAAGCCAAAGATGTATAAGACCTGAAGACGTAAATGATCAAAACGGAATGTCCCTTATCAAGTGACAAAATCAAAAGCTCAAACACATCAAACGAATTGAAAACAACTGTCATATTACTGACTTGGTACATACATTTCCTTATGTAAACAAGAGGATCATGAGAGCCTGGTATCGCTCACCTGTAATTTCAGTTTCAGGCATTTGACTTATTTGTAGATCTTACTTTGCTGAACAATTTTTTCACTTACACTTTATTTCTTTCTATAATAATATTAAAGATAATATATAGCCCACAACTGTAAAATGTCCTAAAAATTAACTATTTCTGGACAGTAACTCAACAATAAGTTGTCCTATTGGTCTGAAGATTACTAGACAGGTAGATACAAAACTGTTTAACACTTTCACTTATGTCAGTTTTGCTCTTACTGCTTTAGTTTTTGAGATGAAAGCCAAAAACTTCATTTGACCCCTATGTTCTTTTTTTAGAAACTGTCGCCATGTTTTTGAATGGATCAAATCCCCGAATACAATCTATAAATTAGATTCTCTAAGGAACATTCAATTTAAAGGTTAGAAGTATTTGGCCAAGTAGTTTCAGAGAAGAAGATTTTTGAAAAATTAATTAAACTTTCACAAAAAATGTAAAAAAAAAAACACATTAAGGGCAATAACTCCTTAAGGGGTCAATTGACTTTGGGCCAGGTGAGCTGAAAATGGTAGATAAAACCTGGTTTTATAGCTAGCTAAACCTCTCACTTGTATGACAGTCGCATAAAATGCCATTATATTTATTATGTGTGTGAAAAAAACAAACAGACATAAAAGGAAACAATATCAAAAATAGAGGTACAGCAGTCAGCATTGTGAATAAAGGTCAACTTTGCCTGAGAGATTTGAAACCTTGCATTCTAAATAATTTCTCGACATTTTTTGTTTAAATCATGTCAGTATACGTACTTGAGGAATGACATTTGCGTAAATGATACCCTCGGGGACTTACAGCCCACTAGCAGATGTATCGACCTAGTGCTAATAAAAACAATACCTGTTCATTTGATACAATTTTATTTAGCCTATCGACTATTTCTAAATGAACTTTGGTGGATATTTGTCTCACAATCTCAGTGTTGACTGGCTAGTGATACAGTAGTTGGACTACTTAGACCACTCGGCCACCGAAGTCCATGCTTTTCGGAGGCAAATAGCATGCGAAAATAAAAACAAAATTAAATCTTTTGATCGACTTACGAATTTTACCGACTTGTCGCTCACCAAATAGAATCATTGGCAATCGTACCATATCTCCTTATTTTTAAGCTGGTATATGATTCTGATATACATTACATGCGGACCTGGTGTACGATTCTGGTCCCCATTTACTTGTGGACCTAGTATATGATTCTGGTATCCATTTACATGTGGACCTAGTATATGATTCTGGTATCAATTAACATGTGAACCTGGTATCTGATTCTGATACCTATGATATTGACAATGATAACCATGTGGAGATGGCACTTGTTGTTTAGTCAATTCGAGTGTGCCCAATCGTTGAACTCGAGGTATGAATACTTTTATTAGGTTTATAGATGTTTTCCATACTTTGTGTTTTAGATTGCAGATGTTTAGTTTCTAGTCGCATCGAGTACCTCCTGAGATGTGCTCCGTTGTTCTTTTTGAAATGAATCAGGAAGAACCATTTCATTGACAAATGCAACCAACAAATAATATTTGTTATTATCATATACATAAAATACATCATATACATTATATATTATTATTGTTAATATCCTGTCACGTAGTGTTGTCATTTTAGCGATATATATTTTTTAACATTGCCATATTAGCGGGAGGTTTGGCTAGCCAGAAAACTAGGTTCATCTCACCAATTTTTCTAAAAAAATGTCCTGTACCAAGTCAGGAATATGGCAGTTGTTATCAAATAGTCCGTTTCTATGTATGTTGGAGTTTGTATTTGTTGCTGTTTAGTGTTTCTCTTGTTCCGTTGTTTTCCTCTTATAGTTGATGTGTTTCCCTCGGTTTTAGTTTGTAACCCGGATTTGTTTCTCTTGATCGATTTATGACTTTTGAACAGCGATATACTACTGTTGCCTTTTTTTTTACAGGTAAAACGATGATTAACACTTTTTTTTTAGTTTGAATTAATTATGTCGTATAATGAAACAGATCTTGAACATCGGTATTATATATTTCTATAACATAATTGCACTTACTTGTCTATTTATGTATGTTTATGTTGATGTCTGATCATATGACCATCGACATTCTTCTGTGTTCATCTTGATGGATAGCTAGACGGCGTTTTGTTCTAAAATACGTTATGTTAATGCTGATACTTGATAACTATCTAATGGATTGTTTATTGTTTCTTATGGAGCTTTTGTAATTGTGGTAAATATTTTAGTTAATTATAAATCAAGTCAAAGAGTTTGAGTCAATTATGTGATATTGAATTTGGCAGCTTATGTACTTTTGATTAAAACATTTATTATTGTTGATGGCTTTGATATTAATAGATTTATGTTTACATAACACATGTAGGCTTGTACCTACATATCACTTGTCTAATTGTTGAACAGCATATTGTCATATTTAGATTTCATATTTTTGTTGTCGTTTAGTTCCTATCTCTTTGGAGTGTACCGCTCGTCCCCTCTAGAAAACACTTTCTTTGAACCCCTCTTAGCGACGGAATAAGCATAGATATACACAGAGGGGGTTGAAAATGAAGTCTTTCATTCCTCTTATTTATACATAATATCAAAAATCTATTATTAGGATTTTAACTTGGGACAGACACATACCGTTAGCGTCAAATAAACGAAAAGGTTAATTGTCATTCGACATATCGTATTTATAAAGTACTATAAGTCAGATATCGTATTAACTTTATTTCAATATATGTATTAACATTAATCGTCATGTGTACCCCTTTCCCCCCCTAAAATAAAAACTTGTTGTAGAAATTATTAGTTTAATTAGAAGTTATTTATGGGTGAACACTTTATGATCAGTTGATTTGCCCTTGATATAGATATTAGTTTAGTGTTGTAAATTAGTTGTTTATTAACTTGGTCATTTGTTTTTATTTGTGGGATTGTAAATAATTAACTTACTGTTTAACGGAAAACCTTTGTAGTGACACAGTATCAAAAGTTCTTTTGTAAAGAATATCAAATATTAACTGTGATACAATTCATTGTCAACACAAGTGTTCCTGTTTTATACCAGACTGTTTATAATAAAAATTCAAGTAGAATGGGATATCCGGATATGTTTCAACGTTGGATAATAAATTGTGTGTTTTCTTGCACGTATTTTTGAAGACGACAACTGATCAAATAAACAAACTGAATACTATAACTTATCAACATAAACGAAATAGGAAATCAGGAGTACATTATTATTAAGTCAATTGTAGATTTCTTTCAAAAAAGGAAAATAATAGATTTGTTGTTGTTGGGATTTGTTGTGATTACAATTTATGCCACACAATAATTGACATAAAGTTAATATATACTTTATAACAAACATATTTGCAGATTCAAACCAAACCAGGACAGCAGCAATACAGGATACTAAGGTTGGTTTTATTTTAGATATAATTGATAAACTTCCTGAGGCAGCACACTATCAATCAAAGTACTGACGAAGTGTGGTGATCAAGTGTAACAAATTGTATTTCGGACGATTGAAGGACAAAACCTTTCCTTTCTGCGTAGAACTTACTGGTCACAGTAACTGGCATTTGTTTTTTAACGCCCTTTATCAACTACTCAACGATAACAATTTAAAATTGATCAATTCAATAGATTCTGTCAAAGAGGGTCAACAGGGACCACTGAATAAGAGGACCTTAAAGCGCATATACTAGCTTTCTCCAAATTGACAGTGTTAAGCTTGTGTCCCAAATGAGCTTAAACAGTTGTAACAATGTCTCTATCGCCTGAGGAAATTTCAGAACACTGTATGGCAATTAGTAGAACCCACTCGCCTACTTTGATTTTGACTTCATTTCTATATTTTCCGTGCGTTCTCATTTGCTTATTTTTAACTTTGTCATACAAGTTGATGAATAATTTGGTGTATTAATTTTTCTTTCTTTTAGGATCGGTTGATACTATCTTGCTTCCAGGTTTGTTGATTTTTTCTTCCATCACGGTTTATTCCTTCGCACTGGTTGTGCGATTGCCGAATTTCTAACGAGAGGTGTCATTTTTATGGTAACTCACTGCATACGGAAAAACTGTTGGCGAATTAGAATACGGGAAGACAATGCTTCAATAGAAGTACATTTCTGAAGATTTGGATAAAATAATTGATGTTCTTTTAAAAGAAAGTCTATTTTATAGTATAATGTAGCCATTCCAGTGTACACAATATTTTTTAGTTAAACTTGAAGGATCATATGACTTTAAAGTCATCGACAATTGATTGAACCGTTAACAATTTGAAGTATTTCATATGAGTTAATTTATCACGTGGGACACATGTACAGTCAACTACCGATTTTTACTACTTTGAGATTGAAGTGTTATTATCCCCGAAGCACATCTACCGTACAGTACACACTATTTTAATTCACTTTGAAATGTTTTTAATTCGTGGCCATGCTGGTTTGTACAATTGTCTACTTGATCCTTTTTGTTAATTCGCAGAGGTTCTTACAGGGGTTTGATCCCTGAAATAACTTCCCTAATGTCGCATATAAATTTGAGTGAGCAAATTGGCAAGAAGCTCTTTTCCGTAGGCAAATAGCATGCAAAAAAAACCAAAAAAAAAAACAAACTGAAATCTGCTCAACGACTTACGGATTAAAATAATGTACCTAGTTATTTTTTACACATAAATTCAATATACTCTATAACAAAATTGCATATTATACCTTTGTTAGAGTTCTCCCCAAAATATGGATCTTTAATTAGTTTATTCCAACCTAAGCACATTTTTCATATATTCCTTATCATGTTGTAAAATCATCTGTTTCACCATTTAACAAAATCTTTTATAGCATATCAAAAGTAAAAGTAGCAGAAAATTTGATCTTGGAACAACAAAATAGGAAATAACTCAGAGACCTCAAAATGGAACCAGTGGTTTTTGACAGCTATAACATCTTAACAAGGGAAATTGCATCGGGCTTGTCTACAGGTACATATATTTTTGTCCGGTATCAAAAATTAATAAAACTTACAAAACTGATGCATCGTTTACTTCTAATAGTACATGAACTGCACACTTTTACAGAGCTTATGATTTTGACACTCATGTCTTTTTGTCTTATATATTTGTGGCTTTCATTGTTTAGGTTTGAGCTTCGCCAATGAATGCAAATCCAGAAAAGCTCTTCGGACGAACGCAATTAATAAAGTTTAATTTTAAAAATTAATAGCGTTCTTAGTAGTGTTTTATTTGTTTGACGTTTTTACCTATTGTATCTGTTTGTTTTGCTCACACATTGTTGTCAATATAATGGAATTTTATGCGACTGTCATACAAGTGAGAGGTTTAGCTAGCTAAAAACCCAGGTTTAACCCACCATTTTCTACATAAGGAAATGCCTGTACCAAGTCAGGAATATGACAGTTGTTTTTAATTCGTTAGATGTGTTTGAGCTTTTGATTTTGCCATTTTATAAAGGACTTTCCGTTTTAATTTTTCTTGAAGTTCGGTATTTTTGTTATTTTAAATTTTACTAACTATAGCTCTTGATTTAGTCTTTTCTTTTGGTTTGAGATCTTCATTGCCTTCTTGGACTTATCTTCAGATTTTAAATTTAGGTCGTTTCAATTTCAATTATTATTACTACTGACATTAAAAGAGGGACGAAAGATACCAGAGGGACAGTCAAACTCATAGATCAAAAACAAACTGACAACGCCATGGCCAAAAATAAAAAGACAAACAGACAAATAATAGTACAGATGACACAACATAGAAAACTAAAGACTAAGCAACACGAACCCCACCAAAAACTGGGGGTGATCTCAGGTGCTCCGGAAGGGTAAGCAGATCCTGCTCCACATGTGGCACCCGTCGTGTTGCTTATGTTATTACAAATCCGGTAAATAGTCTAATTCGGTAAGTCACATTCGTGAAAAGGGAAGGGTATTGAAGTTACGGCATAAGGAACATATCCGATATGATCTGTGAAACGGTTATTCCATAACGGTCAACGAACTCGTGATGACGTCCGTAAAATTTACGAAGGGATGATTTCAACTTCACCATTTGGAACTCTTGGTTTAATAGCTTCCTTGTGAGCATCTATCCTCTATCAAGGAAATCATGATAGGAAACACAAGCCCGGGAATATCGTATCAATTGGGAGATATATACTCCGTATGCAGGCGCTGCTGGAATGTTGCTACATAGAAATGGAAAGTTCACAATTGGGAAGCTGAAATCATATCTTTTGTCGTAAAGTTTTGTTTTCAACCGACCCTCATTGTCAATTTCTAGATGTAAGTCAAGATATGAGGCAGACTTAACTGTATCTGTAGTATCCTTTATCTCTAGTTCGATATGCCAACATTGATGTTACATGTATAAAGGTCAGGGCAATTAAGGAATGTTACACCAGAAAAAAACTTATATCCCAGATACCAGCTTATGATTTGGTTCGGCAGACACGCGTTTCGTTTTTATTAATTTCATCAGTGGAACTCGAATCAAAACAGTTGCAAAGCCAAATCAAATTCAAATATTACTAAGTTGGATAACAACAAAAACCGAAAAATCAGAAAAATTGTGCAAAGTACGGCTAAGGCACTATATAACTGGAGGAAGAAAACTCTCAACGTTTTGAATATTTTAGTTGCATTGAGAGAAATTAAAGTATAATTATGTTCACACTACTGTATCTCCTATTATTACTATTGAATATTTTCTTGGCAACATGTCTTTCTAGTCTGTTTTGAGGCAATATGACAAATAGGTTTAGTCTTAAACGACCATTTTATCTAAAAACGTTCGGGACTTCGGTGGCTGATTGGTCTAAGTAGTCGAACTACAGTATCACTAGCCAGTCAACAATGAAGTTGTGAGTTCGAATCCCGCAAGAGGCAAGTGGTGTTAAACACCAATCAATCAATCAATCTAAAGACGATCTACAATCTGAACAAACAAAAATGCGTCATAAATCAAGATTAAAACAGAAGGTGCATGTGTCCTTTCCTTGTCAGTGTTTCTCTTTTGTTTAATCTGATTGTTATAGTTATTTTGAGAATGTTGTGGTAATTGAAGGTCTTTTATATTTTCTATTTAGTTTATTCAAAGATTGTGGTGATATCAATTGATGTTCTGTTATGTAGCTCTTATTAGTCCAATAATCTAGTTTTACAAAAGGGATGGTTGAGCTCTAGAATAATCCATAGTATAAAATGTGCCTATCAAATGCCATTAACTTTGCTAGTGGCAATGTGCCAATGGGAATTTTATGTTATTTTCAAAACTTGGTGTTAATGATACCTTCCGCGGTAATTAATTTGAATAGTGTGCAGAATTTCTTCTAAATTCGATCTGATTGACAGGCACTTTTCGGGTATGTAGTTGTTACTGATTACCTAGAGTATGAAACCTCAGAAAATAGTGAGAAAAAATAACGTCCTGTATTTTATATACATGTTGTAAATTAACAATATATATGAAAAGTACTGAATTTTCTACAGTGAAATATAAATGTCTAGAAGATGATGAATGACGTACATTTCAGTGAGAACGGCGCTTATTTTTCTGGAAAAAGGTTATCATGTAAATTCTGGACCACTAATCTAAATACAATAGATTTGAAATGATTCACTACGTTTCGAATTGAAATTAAAAGCTGATCAAATTTCCCGCAATTCGCATTTAATATGTTGACCAAAAAATCAAAAAACCAAAAAACCAAAAAAAAAAAAAATAAAATAAAACAAAACCAATAATTGAATTGCTTTAAATAACAGGAATGTTTATCATCACACTGCATCAAGTTTCCCACTAGCTAGAAATAAGATGTGACTTTGTAAATGGTGTGACGGGTATTACACGTACAACACGATATGCTTATTTTGTTGACGTACTTGGCCCATTTCCGTTTGGAGTTCATACGATACCAATTGTTATAATTCCACCTTTCTTTATTTATACCTTATGATATTTTGACTGACATCGTGATAATTAACCTATCTTTATATTTATTTAATGCAAAATCACTACAACATTAAAACGCTATTTTGATGTTTTTCAGAAAATATAAAGACAATGAAATTTATTGTGAGGCAGTTTGGAAAAGGAATACTTGAAAAGATTGTTTCGGGGACAGACTTTTTACAGCTCCTGGAAGAAAGAGACTGGCTCTCTGCGGAACGAGTTGATCAGCTGTCAGAACTTCTGCAAACAATTGGTAGGCATGACTTGGACAATAAAGTACAGATGTATGCAGATTCTGCGATCTCAAGGAATCTCTCTAATCATAGTAAGTTTGCGCTGTGTGATCGAAAATGTTTCTTTTGATTTCGAAAAATTCAAGTATTAAAAACATGAAAACAATTAATATTGGAGGAATGGCTATTATGCAAGAGTGATAACTCCCAATTTTAATATTAAAGGGATGGCAAGGATTCAACTTGAACGATATTCAGATTATTCTTTTTCATGCACTTTTCCTTTCCACATTACCGTTAAAAATGGAGGAAGGCAATCTTTTCCAATACTGTACTGACATTATTCAGTTAAATTGAACGTTCTTATAGGGAGCACAATAGTATTGATTCAAAGCGACAACACTAACATTTTCTGAATGTGCTAATTTTATACTCAAAACCAGGGAAAAAAAAGAAAAAGAAAGTTACATGTGATAGAGGTAAAAAATGATGCTTTTTGGGGAGTATTTAAAATTTTCTGTTGCTGTACAAAATGTGACCGCAGTCATCATTACATTTAAGAATAACTATTTTTTTCTTCAGATTATTACGGAATATATTGTATGCAAATGAATGAAAACTATGTGGAGACATCAATGTACAAGAAAATCGTAGACCATCTGCAGTGTCAAAATACTGTGATTATAAAAGGTAAAGACATGGTTAACTTCGCCACATTCTTTGTGTGACTGTTCCAAGTCAAGATCTGGTAATTCAGTGGTTGTTGTTGGTTGCGTTCTGTCATATTTGTTTTCCGTTTATTGTTTTGTCAGATATACGGTATGTTGGTTTTTTTTTAATATAAATGGTTTCACTTTATACCATGTTGGTGACTTTTATAGCTGACTTTACGTTTGCACCGGCCGACAAAGCTGCCAACAATTAGGTGGTTGTATTACGTAAATACTACACGAAAGTTCTTAAGAATGAAATAATAAAACTTTAGTTCTTCTACATTCAGGTCCGTGCGCTCCACAGAGAGCCATATAGTAAACAATCAAATCATATCGTTATCTTGATGATACTTTTCGTTAAATAATCAAGAATTTTCTAAATATACTGCCGAAATTCATCCAGAAGGAACTAACTTAAAATAAAACTTACATGAACTCGTAAATTTAGTTACGATCCGGGTTAACCTATCGGTCTATTAAATAAACTAATTTTAACAGGTTACCAATTCAATACTCAGATAAGATCTTTGAATATTATTTAATATCGGTATAGATATTGACATGTTAATGACGTCTTTACACTAAACCAATTTGATAGTGGATGTGTATTGATTGATATTTTAGTCTTAGACACATGATTTTTTGTTAGTTGTTTTTGACTTTGAACTAGCATTTTAGTAACGGCGAGTATTCTCAGATCTGTACTCTGTGTACTTTGTTATTTTAAAGTTTTTTATGTGCCCGTGTGTGTAGTGATGTCATAGATTTTAACGAACGTAATCAATGTATCACTGGTAAATTAGTCAGGGATTTCGTTACCATAAATTACGTAAAATTCTTTCATAGATACAAAGATTTGATTAGTAAATTTGGCTGTACCTTTAGAAAACTGATTAAAATTGGTATTTCACATCCTAAATTTTACGGTAATATTTTACTTAAAGCGCGTAAATCACTATGTGATCCGTGTAAACTCATTGAACCTTTAAACAAACTTATTAGTAAAGGTTATCTTACCAATGTTGTAATTAGATCTTTGAATATAGTTTACATTGGCACTAATATCGATTTTGTCATCAGCAAATTAAAACATAACTAAATTTGTATTCTTTTCAAACGGGATGTATAAAGACACACCCACGTTCATTTTGATCTACAAAGAGGTTAAACTCCTAACTATCTAACTGTCTGTCGATACATTTATTTTTGGCATTGCACAAGTCATGTCTTCTTTGACTGTCCATGACGTTAAAATACTAAATCCCTGGGATGTGTTTTAGTTGATTTTAGTCTCTGATGCATGATTTTTTATTATTAATTGTTTTGGCTTTTAACTAGCTGTCAGTAACTGCGAGTACTCTCAAATCGTACTTTCTTGTTTATTTGATCTGTTGATACTAATTGTAATGCTTTTTTGTTTTTTAATGTTATTCAGGGTTATATCTGGTCTATATACCAGCTTTGATAAGTGTTTGGTATTACTATAAATTTTCACTTCGTACTATGAACATCAAAATTATTTATTTTGTAAAAATATTTCCTTTCTCTATTGGAACTGTACACGTTTACCTAACAACAAAATTATTTTCATTAACATGTGTTTAAAGTAATTGCAAATGGCTGAATTTTTTGTTCGAGCATATTGTTTTTCTTAAATTGTTAAACATTTCATACCGATATAACATGTTACTTTTATTATTCTTTCCTTAGTTTATTTATTTTGTATTTGCATTGTATCAGAGGTCAAATTTATTTGTTCATTGTATGTTCACTGGTGTTAATATGTCCTTTGATTGAGTTAAGCTATTTCAGTTGATATTTTATAGTGTGTCTTTCTATGTTGTGATGTTACACTATTGTTTCAGAAAAAGGGTGAAGGTTTGGTACCATTAAAACGATTAAACCCGCTGCATTTGTTTGCACCTGTCCTAAGGCAGGAATCTGATGTTCAGTAGTTGTCGTTTGTTGATGTGGTTCATAAGTGTTTCTCGTTTCTTGTTTTTTATATAGATTAGACCGTTGGTTTTCCCGTTTGAATGGTTTTACACTAGTAATTTTTGGGGCCTTTTATAGCTTACTGTTCGGTGTGAGCCAAGGCTCCGTGTTGAAGACCGTTCTTTGACCTATAATGGTTTACTTTTTTAAATTTTGACTTGGATGGAGAGTTGTCTCATTGGCACTCATACCACATCTTCTTATATCTATTTGTATTGATCTAATGAATTAAGCCCTTTTCAACTGATTTTTTTATAATGTGTTCATATGCCGTACGTTTACACCACTGTCTCAGGTTAAGGGTTCGGCGCCTGCAAACATGTTTAAAAGGTCGTTTGATGAAGAGTATATAAAATTGCCTATTCCCTTGTCGTACTGACCTTAACATTTATTTTTTTGGGGGTAAATTTCCATGTTATTGTGTTTAATCTTAAAGCTTGAACAGTTTAGAATTTAAGAGATTTATTGTTGTTTTGTATACTGTTATTGGTCTTTTGCGTTTGAATATCCCTCTTTTTTATATTGTAACATTGATAGACACCTGATATATCTGTCACTTTTAAAAGCTACATAGGAGTTGCCCAACAGAAACAATAAAACGTTATATCAACAAAAGATAACGTGTTGCCGAAAAAAAAATGTTCTAATGTTTTTTTTCGCATAAAGATAAGTCAGAATATAGCTATCAATTCATTATATCGTATAACATATATAAGGCATTGTTTCTTCCTTAATCATTTTTTTCCATATTCGTAATACCATATTAGGTTTTCTTTTTCTTTAAAATATACAAGCAGCCATGTTTACTCCTTATACTGTTTTTATCAGCATTAAGCACTGCAATATCTTATTTTCTAGGTCCACCTGGAACATGGAAGTCACAACATGCTTTTAGATATGCCCATTACTTCTCTAAAGAGAAAGGCACAGACAAGTCTTTAATTTGGAGAGTAGATTGCAATACAGATTTAAACATTTTTAATTCTTTTTCCCACTTGATGAATTTTTTAAAGATTCAATGTGTTAACTCTAAAAACAGAATTAAAGAATCAATAGAAGTAATGCTGTCTAGAGCATTAGACGTACTTGCAAATGATAAATATAAAGAATCGAAACATTTGTTTATTCTTCTAGGATTCACTTGTTCATCGCTGCCAAAGGAAACAATACAATCTTTATTACAAGGTATAAAGGCACATACTAACATCTTTGTACTAGCAACCGTAAGTGAATCTCTTACGAGTGACTTTGACAACGACGTCATTGAAATGCATGGTATGTTGGAGGAAGAAGCTATTGACTTTCTAAATGTTCCTAACATCACTTCAATAGAACAAGCGAAAGTTCTAGCGAAAAAACTTAGCTATTTACCAACAGGCCTACTTTTTGCAAGAACATATATGCAAACAACACAAATTAGTATAGAATCATATTTAAGTAATTTAGAGACCATAACGAATATTACCACAGATGATTCGTCAACGAAAGCATGTCAGTTACTTATTCAACTGGCAGAAACAAAAATGTCGAGAGAGGAAAAAAAACTGCTTCATTACTTGCCATATATAAATACGGACAATATACCTGTTCTTCTTCTAAAATACCTTTTACCTCGTTTCCTGGTAGATGATTCTAAGACTGTGTTAATCAACAACTTTTTGAAGACCCTCAGCAATCATTCATTGATATCAATAAAAGGCGTAGATGATTCTAGAGTTGTTGCAGCTCATTCTTTCACGTTAATGATACTGAAATCGTTCGAAACAAAAGAAAAGAGAACAGAGTATTTAAACACACTACTTGACTTTTTCGTTAGTTATCTAGACCTTGATGCTCGCTGGCTTGAAGTCATTCATAGAAATGTTTTGTTTCTTGATCACGCAGAAGCATTTCTTAGTAATGTTGATATTCAGTTTGAAACACAATCCAAAGATATAAAAGCCAAGTTATGCTATTTATACACAGCAATTGGAATAACATACCGACTCTATGGCAACACAGAACTTTCCGCCGCTGTTTATCTATCTAAGGCGAAAAATACTGTTTATAAAAGGATTTTAGGGAGTAATTCATTTCAATGCAACAAAACAGAACACTCTTTCGATACAGTTGAAGAATATCTAAATGGTAGTGAAGCTCTACAAGAACATTGCAAAGATATATTTCCAAAGTTACAAAGAAATGGTAGAGAACTTTCGATAAATTTTATAAACAACTTTGTGGAAAATAAGTGCAGAAGTTCAAGGAGTATTAGCCTACTGTGTAAATATAGCGATATAGGTATCGACAACGTAAATAATAACCAGCTCTCAGGTCTCGTAGTAGATCATCTTAGAAGTAAAAACTTGATCATGGATGCTGAGCATATTTCCGAAACGTTTCTTATTGAACTACTTATTAGGATTCTCTATAACGAAAGTAAAAACACGTGGTTGGTTGAAATGTCAAAAGATGAATTCTCTGCTGGAAAAAGAACTTTAATGAAAAGGTTGTCTAGTGCTTATTTTCCGGTTACTCCTGAAAGCTTAACGCAATTTCAACTAGCCCATATCCTAACACAACTACTGGAGAGACACATGGAATCTATACATATGACCAGTACTGACTCTATAGGTCATGAGGTAAAACAAGTTCTTGTGTTTTGCCCAGTGTTTAGTCCTGTTACCCATCGGAGTGGCATTATGTACTTGGCACGTTCAATTTTTGATGATGACAAGTTTGCTAGTTTACTAGATGAAGCTATTAATTTATTAGACGAAATAGACAAAGGCATCGAAGGCAAGGGATTCACTGAATTCGGAGTTGTTAAACGCATTGGAGATTCAAGTCTTTTTCATTCGGTAATGATTGATACACTGAAAATGGAATGCTATGAAAAATTAGCCAAAGCTGTCCAGCCTAAAAAAGAGGAATTTTTACAGAAAGCTATTTCGATTGCTAAACGACTGGAATGTCAAATAAATGACATGGCATCATGGAAAGCTCTGTCTGGAATCCATTTAAAAATTGCCAAACTGTTCATAAGAACCCAAACAGAAGAAAATATAAGGAAAGCAAAATACCATTATAGAAAGGCATACGATCGCGAATTTGAAAGTAATAATACAAGATTCACTCGATTTCATCAAAGAGCTGTTATTCATTATGCTGAATGTTGCATACAATTTCCTACATCTGATGACCTTAAAGTTGCTAGGGAAATATTGGTCGACATAAAACGTCGAATAGGAGCCGAGTCACTGTTTGAAGAGGAAATTAAAAAGATAGACAATAGTTTAGTTAGTTTGTAAAAACTTAATATTAAGCTGTGAAATCGTATTAAAGTGTAGTAAAGAAAACACAACAATACACAAACAACTAAAAAACACAAAAACAAAAATAGTAAACAAAGCAACTTCCAAATTAAGAGGTCGTTTCTGTTGTTATAAAATAGTGTCCGTTACCCTGATTTCATCTGGTTTCCAGGTACAATTTTCAATGAAATAATGGACTATTTTTCCACTTCCGATCAAAAATAAAACACGTCAATATCGTATGATAACTTTTATTATACTCATTTAAAAATGAAATTGAAGGTATTTCTTTATACAAAGGGATCTACAAATCTACTTCCGGTTAACTGAAAGTCACTTCGAGTGTCACATGATGAATTTCCTTACGCAGTCATATACGATGTGAATTGACTGAATAAAATTATACGGTTTTATATACGTTAGTTTTATCCCTTCATAAAAATAAGGGTGATAATACATAACGCAGATTTTTTGAAACTACCTTGGTATTTAATATGATAGCTTATTTAACAATAATTCCTAAATGGTTTCTGTGTACCTTTAAATGAAACTATAATAACCGTGATAATGAACTTCCATCGGTTTGTTAAACGTTTTGTTAGTATCGTTGGGTATCTAGTTTAAAACTTATCTACAAAAATATGGTTTTTAAGTACTTTTCCTTGAAATGAGAAATATTAGATCCGGTTTCCATAGAAAATAAAATATTCTATGTCGGATTAAGAAAATATATAAACATGTAGTTGCTGGACACTTTGAAATAAAATCAACTACTGTCGGTGTGATATATATGTAACTTTCTGTTGGCAATGTTAAATTCACAAACCTACTATTATTATGCGAAAAGACCCAACGAATGTACAAATATACATACCTTATCAATAAATTCCTTATGTAAACATTTTAAGGGCATGAACTCATTTGTTACAATACTCTATAATCATGTAATAAAGATTTTATTTTCTATAATTATAGCAACAACTGTCAATGAACAAGAAACCTGGTTCAACTATTCAAATTGAAGATGGCACAATTAAAAAAGAAGATAAAGAAGTGCAGACTGTATTTTCACAGTAAGTCATTCAGTATCCCATTGCAAAGGAGCACATTGAATTTGTAAAGAGACGGTCGTTTAAAGTATGTATACGCGATACGAAGATAACATGTCAATGGTAGTTTAATTTCAGTGCGATACAACCCGAATCTTTTATGAATTTGAATATATATCAGAGGTCATCGTACGACCGTCTACATATTTTGATATGACGTCACAAGTTTTGTAGAAGCTATTCAAATCAATAAGTGAATGAGTTTATTATATATATAAAGGAAAATGATGTTCATGGCAGGCAGATATTTGATAGTTTCTGTTAATTCTATTCACTTTTATAGACTGAAGGATGGTTGTGGTGAAGTTAAGAATTTGACATACTGTTTGGATATTTAGCTTTTATTGAAGACAGTTTGGGGATTCTACACGTCTAATTGGTTGTTTGTGTCGTAAGGCTTTCTGAGTTTTTGTATATCAAATAGTAACTTTAATGATTGTTAAACATTGTCATTTTTATTCGGATAACCTGAGAGTTAACATGATGCAAACAATATACATAACGATTTTAAAATTAAAAACTTATTCCAAAAGTTTAACACACGGAAATCATATATTTTTAAAAGAACATAGGACCGACACATTTTTAGCGTTGCGAAATCTTGTTTCAATATTTCTTTTAAGGGAAAGATGTGATATTGTGATTATATTTGTAAAACAAAAATTTGTAAACGAACTTGTCAAAATCAAATGCTAGCAAAGGAACTGGGCTTTCATTGTTCTTCTTCTAAAAGTAAAATTGTAGACTGCAGCATGAGATATAATACCAAACTTCACTGCAGGTTCATGAAGCCCCAGCCTAGTATTTTGCGGAATTCTTAGCTAAATAATGATCGCCCTACACGTACGTTGTGAAGACCACAGACGCCAGGTTACATGTGATATGAACAATTTTTTCAGAGTCTAAGTTATAACGAAATCTTGCAAACACTCCTATAAAAACTCGACCATTCATTGTAAAATTCAAGAACAATACAAACATTTAGACGAAGACAAATCTATTCAAAGCACTTCTGGAAATTACTAGTGTGTTCACGAACAAGTAATCGTGTATGTGGCAAACAGTGTTGATGGACTGCATAACAATTACGTAAAAAACAAACCAACTGAAAAAGAAAAAGGGAAGTATTTCAAATCAGTGAAAGTGTCTTACTCCGGTACGGGTATGAACATACGGATATTGTGTTATTCAAATTTGATGTTTTTACAATTTTTTGAAATTAATTTTAATTAAGGAATATATCTCACTCATGCAAAGCTCTGATTCCTTGCTCGGCTTCGACTATACATCATGTCCATTTTTGTTTTGTCAGCTCTTTTTATATACGTTTTCAAATATCATGGCATCGAGAATCACCGAAGAGACATTTATTGTCGAAATGTCGATATCTGGTGCAGTAAAATTGGTACCATTAATGTTATTAAGATTAAACATGCTTTGTAATTAAGTCATTATTATTATTATTTTCATTAACGTTTAATTATTATTTTAATTGAGTTTGATTATTATTTTTTCAGATTATTATAAAAATTATTATTATTATAATTATTGAAGGTATGACTATCAAATGCGATTGTTGACAGAACTACAACATAAAAGAGAGCGACTTTTATCTGATAAGAAAAGAGCTCAATCTGATTTACAAAGAATTCATTTGGAAATTGAAGAAGTCGAAAAGGAATTACAAAAGATGAATTATATTTCGGAGAAATAAGGAATGACAAAAAAGAAATGAAAGGGAAAAAGAAAAGAAAGATTCCAACATTAGGTACATTTGTGTACCTGTATGCAATGTGTGACTCATTCATTTTTAGATCTTTAAAGAAAAACTAATAAAATGTCAACAAAAGATAAGGAAATGCGGCAATGTAATTGTAATAATCGTGAATCGTCAAAGTATTGTTTGATATAGAAACTGGATAATTTCCTGTTTACTGTAATAATAGATGTTACATTTGATGCCATTATAATAACTGCAATGTCATTATAAATGTAATATTTGATGACATTATAATAATTGCAATATCAAGATAGATGTTAATTTGATGACTTTATAATAATTGCCATATCATGATTCGAGTATCGCTCGTGTATCTATGATGAGTTTATAATATTTGATAACATTATCATTAATTTCATGTCATGAAAAATGTTACATTTGATGACATTATAATCAATGAAATATTATAGAAAATAATGACAAATGGTATTCACTGATGCTGCTATGGAAGTATCATAATGACGTTGATTCAGAATTGTTTTGTTTGCCTGTAAAAATTCATGCCTCGTTTATCTAATGTTTCGGTAAAATTTGTAAGTTGAATTCATTTTTTTTCAAATCGAATTTTTTTATGTACATGTAGTAGGAAGTTTTATATCTTATGATATCCTGGTGTACGACCTTTACACATTTTGGTTCAATTTTTTGTTCAATTATTAAAAACACATAGCAAATAATGTTCCGTACTTACTTTTTATTTCAAGGTATATTTTTCTAGACAAACTTTCCATTCAAATTGTTTTAGAAATTAATTGTGAGAGTTAGTGTATTATTACACAAACACTCCGAAATGGTCCAAGATATTAACATATTTATAAAGAGTTATTGCAGTCATACAGACTAACAGAATTCTGACTTGTAAACTTCAATATCCACATTCAAATGTTTTCATACTTGAATTCAATGCGTAATATTTGAAATTTGAATGGAGCCATGTTGATCTCATACAGATAAAGAGTTATATGTTTCAAGTCTAATGCTCAAGATAACCAATTTTATTTGCTAATTGAAAAGCGGAATAAAATAATTTAAGACAGCAGGGAGAATAATTATGTAGTTTTAGACTGAGAGTGGGAAATTTATACTGTAAATGTTTACGATGTATCTGTAGTGGCCAGTGGGTCAGATTTGTCTAAATTATATAACACTTTTTCACGTAAAAAGAACTAGTGTGTTAGTGGATTCCATCCTTCTGATTGGTCAATGATCTTGCGGGGTCAGCACGAGTTCCCGTTTATGTGCCATGTGTGCGCCTCCTTTTATCATAAGCTTTCGTCTTGATAACTTGTAATTCTAATAAATTGCGTGAAATTTAAATTCCCACCCGCAAACCTTCCTTTATTTTATCTTTATAAGTAGACTGTAGTTGTGTAAATATGTTTTTTTAGTGGGGAAGATTTTTCTCCCCACCTTTGCGTTTCTTTGTCATTTATTCAATTGATATGATTTTAGTTGATGTAATTTCGTATCAATTATGTATTATAATTGCATATTAATTATGAACTTTTATGTCAAATGTTTTATTTGCAAATTGTATTTTTTTGCATTTTATTATTTTGAATAAATGACCTTTTTTCGTCAATCTTGTTTTTATACATATAGCGAAACAAGCTCAGACTCTGGCCTGTTGTATGTATTAGTATGTTTATGGTATCTGTCTGTCAGTCTTAAATAACGTCCAGCGCTACCGATGTTAACTTCAGGTTGAGATGAAAGGTCTAACGCTGCTATTTAAAGTCAAGTCATAATTTTTGTTCTGTTAAAAATATAAAGTTTCTCCTCAAAACCAATAATGACGAAAAAATCCATAAATTTAAGTATTAAATGGATGAATATAATCCAAATTATTTAGAACAATACATAAATAATGTTTTTTGCTGGGTTTATCAATCTGGTCGCCAATACTATATTATAAAATTAAGAATGGAAACGGGGAATGTGTCAAAGAGACAACAACCCGACCATAGAGCAGAAAACAGCCCAAGGCCACCAATGGGTCTTCAACACAGCGAGAAAATCCCGCATCCGAAGGCAGGCTTTACTTTTGAAATTTAATCAGAAACTATGGGCATAAATTATAAACAATAATAAAAAACAAGAACCGATAAAGAGCCTCATAATATGACAACGTTAAAATTAGATCTTTATTTAAGTAATTTTGAAAGCTTTTGTATTTCGACCATTTTAAGGTCTAACATGTTCGTTGAATTTTCCAAACCAATCTATTTATCAGTAAAATAAGGATGGCACACGAAAATAAATATAAACAATACTACTGTCGGCTGTCTCAATTTTTTCGTAAAAATATAATAAGCAAAATAGTCATCATCCTGCAACTTTAAGCCTTACGAAATTACGTATCTACCTTTTAGATTGAGGGTTGCAACCATTATTCAATATCTGTAATAAATTGTGGAAACTTTAGTGCTTGCTAAAATTGAGAAAGTAATATATATTAATGAATTATGACAATTAAGACCTTGACTTGATTCCCATAAACAAGCATGTACTACTCGACTAGAAACTAAAAACGTTTGTGTTAACTGTAATTATTTTGTAATGCTTTTTGCTTGAAAGGGCATTTTTGGAAGGCTTCTCTGCATTTTAAAGTATCTGACGAAAAACATCTCAAATGCATAAATATTTTTAAAAATTCCCTTTTACATTTTTATCTTTAAATTTTACTGCAGTGTTTTGTAGACTGTTGTTTCGTTTTTCACAAACGTTAATTTTAATGTCATATAAATGTGATTCTGTTTTGGTGAGAAATAAAACGAATTTAGCAGAACATACCAGCTGGAATGTATGCCACCCTTTTCTAATTCTGTCTGCAGTTTATCGAGTGAATATGGAAGGCACCTTCAAGATTATTCGTACGAAGAAGGATATTTTGCTGTTTAGAGAGAAAACAAATCTTTTTGTTTTTGTTGCTATTATTAAAACATTTATTTTATATTAATTTCAAATTCAAAACTATTAACCCATACACACAATCAATAAACGGACCTTCTCGCCTTTTTGTAATTAATGATTATAATAGAAAACAACCTAAGTTAGACTTCATGTTAATATAAAAAAGAAGATGTGGTATGATTGCCAATGAGACAACTCTCCGCAAGAGACCAAATGACACAAAAATTAACAACTATAGGTCACCGTACGGCCTTCAATAATGAGCAAAGCCCATACCGCACAGTCAGCTATTAAAGGCCCCAAAATGACAATGTAAAACAATTCAAACTAGAAAACTAACGGCCTAATTTATGTACAAAAAATGAACGAAAAACAAATATGTAACACATAAACAAACGACAACCACTGAATTACAGGCTCCTGACTTGGGACAGGCACATACATACAGAATGTGGCGGGGTTAAACATGTTAGCGGGATCCCAACCCTCCCCCTAATCTGGGACAGTGGTGTAACAGTACAACATAAGAACGAACTATAAAAATCAGTTTAAAGAGGCTTAACTCATCAGATGGATAAATACAAATACTACAAATACAAGTTGACGTGGCCGGGTACTTGTACATCCAAACAACAAAAAGACACTAAGTACAGATCCGAGAGTACTCGCAGTTACTGACAGCAAGTTCAAAGCCACTAACAACTAATAAAAAAGATCATGCATCTAAGACTAAATTATCAATCCGTACACATCCAGCATCCAATGGATTTACTGTAAAGACGTCATAAATAGTCAGAGAAAAACATGACCTTGTGCAATGCCAAGATACAAGTATCGACAGATTGTAGATCAATGAATGTGTATATGTATATAACAATAATATTTAGTTTGCTTTTAATTAACTGATAACAAAATCAATATTAGTACCAATAAAAACAATATTTAATGATCTAATTACAGTGTTGAATTGGTAACCTTTTAGAATAAGTTTATTTAAAGGATCGATAAGTTTACCAGGATCGTTTCTAAATTTCCGGGCACGGTAAACAATATTGCCGTAAAAATGAGGATGTGCAATCCCGTTTGAAGTTAGTTTTCTACAGGTAAAACCAAACTTCAAAACCAAATCTTTATATCTGTGGAAGAATTTAATAAAGGTTTTAAGTAATTTGTGGTAACGAAATCCCTGGCTTAATAATTTACCAGTAATACATAGATTACGTTCGTTAAAATGAAAAACGTCACAACAGACACGGGCATAGCGAACGAGTTGTGAAATATAAACACCGTAAGATGGTGCCAAAGGAACATCACCATCCAAAAAGGGAAAATTAACAATAGGGAACGAAAAATCGTCCCTTTTGTCGTAGATTTTAGTGTGGAGTTTCCCGTGTAAAACCGAAATATCTAAATCTAGGAAAGGACAGTTGTTACCGTTTAAATTTGATTTATTTACAATAAGTTCCTTTGGGTAAATTTCGGCAGTATATTGAGAAAATTCTTGATTATTTAACGAAAATACATCATCAAGATAACGGTAAGTGTTGTTGAATTTATCAATTAAATGCAATTTAGACGGGTCTTAACTGAGTTTGGTCATAAACTATGATTCATAACAGTACAAAAACAAGTATGCTATTAAAGGGGCGCAATTAGTGCCCATAGGAATACCTACAACCTGTCGATAAACATTGTTGCCAAAACGTACATAAATATTATCAAGAAGAAAATTAACAGCTTCAATCATCTCATCACACCTCCAGTAAATATATCTAGCATATTTACCTTTCTCATTAGAGAAGAAGGCTTCAAATGAGTTGCATCAAATATATTTGCATTAAGATTTACCAAACGACCATTTGATTAAATAGTCAAATTTTTGTTTGATAAGATTGTGTGTAAGTGTAGTGTAAAGAGTAGAAAAGTCAAAACTGTCAACAGAATCAAAAGGACCATCAAAAGCACGTAATATATCTAAAACATCCAAAGAATTTTTTACACTCCAAAAATAGTTAATTCCACTATTTTCATATATTTTATTACAATAGTTTATGATAAGCTCTTTGATAGTAGTTAAGGATCTTGTTTAAAGCACTGAAAGATTAGTTGTAAAACACTTACTAGAGGCCGAGATGAAACGATATTTAACTGTTTTTTTTGTGTAGTTTAGGTAACCAATACATAGTAGGGACCTTCAAATGTTCAGAAAAGCCTTAAGCTTTGATGTGGTTATGATATGTTTGTTAACTATATGACTCTCTGTGGGGTGCATGGACTTGAATGTAGATGAATTTAAAATTTCATTCTTTAGAACTTCCGTGTAGTATTTACGGCATACCACTACCACATTGTTGGCTGCTTTGTCGGCCGGTAAAAAACAAACCGCTTTGAAAGTTCTTGAAGTTTATTTCTTATTCTGGAAATAGGCGCATTATGTACTCTATTATTTACTTCTAAATTATTTTCAAATTGTGATATTCTATTATCTACCACATTCATACATTTATTTAAATAAGAATCAAGAGATTTTTTATCAGTTTTTTCCCGTTTACACCAATTTATACAAAACGAGGAAAGAGCATCTTTGGTGACCTGACGACACTGTTTCCAATCTATTTTAGATGGAGGACGATATTTTGGTCGTTTTTTCAAAAAGTTTTTAACCTCTCTGTCCTGGACGATATTGAGGTCCCCCGTAATAACATGGCCATAGGGAACATATCTAAACTTTGACGATTCACAGTTTGAAGTTAAAGGAGTATTATTTTCTACATTGACGTCTGATGTTACCGGCGTATAATTAAAAATTAAACTTCTGCTGGGTTTTTGTAAGTGTATGAAATAATAGGTGGTTCTGTGTTATCAAAATAGAGAGGTATGAAGTTTTGAACGGTAGAGTCAATAAATATACTAGATACGTTGATAAAATCAATACCTCTGCTAATATATTTAATTTTTAGAAAATGACGTTTATGATCTTCAGGTTTGTCGATACGCGGGAACAGCCTATGGTGGCAAAAAGCTGTAATTATACGCGAATATTCATACAGCGGGCTGAAGAAAGAGATGGTGTCACACTCCTTGAAAATATCATGTAATTTACTAATTGGTATTTGACCCAGTTTACATAATACTTGATGCCTACCATTATTTTTAAATATAGATAGGAGATTACCAAGTGTATAATCTATACGATGTTTAATTCGTTGATTTCGATTGATACGTTTGCCATAAGACCTATTATTTCGTTGTCTTTTATCCATAATATTCATGATATCAATAGAAGAAGTTGTAGATATGTTCCCTTGTCCAAGTATATTGTCATTTAGACCCAGGGGATAAGTTTTTTGAAGTCGTTTAATCCAAGACAGTTCGAAAATTTTACGGGAAACTTCAAATTGTTTATGCAATTGCCCTTGTTGTTTCTGGATCGTTTCGAGCGGTTGAAATCTAATAAATTTAATATTGTGGTTGTGTTTACCTAAATATTGATAAATTATACTTTTGAATTTCTTAGGTTTTCGGAAGCGGTATAGATGTTCCTGTGTTCGTTTAAAAAAACTACCGTCCTGTTTGTCCTACATATTGTATACCACACTTTGGCTTTGTTCATGTAACCAGATAAATGAGACTTTGGGTTTTCATGTGATGTCACAGGAAAAGGAAAGC